CTAGACCAATTGAACTGCTAGAAACGCACGTTATGTTTGACATCCAACATTTATTTATATCAAATGGCAGGCGTTTTGACAGTTATCAGTAGCCCTTTAGTTGACTTCGGACTTCATTGTTGGGAGGAACAGAAAAAGTGAAAAAAGTCGAGAGGGGGAACGGAAGAGTAATTCACAGATGTAGAAGAGACAGACAGACACAAAGGTGAGATGAGTACTGTGTGAGGTGGTAGAATATGACATACGGTGGGGTGATGGCAGTTTGAAGTCAGAAGTCAACTGCCGCTTAATGGACATTTTTGCCGTATGAGTAAACGTTGCCCACGGTGCACCACGTGATGATAAGTCTATCGCACACCCCTGAAATCCAATATAATTTCGTCAAACAGTAAGAGTAGTGTTTATCAATGAATTTTGACGATAACAATAATTTAAAAACTTGGTTTCTTTGACTGATAAATATAAGTGCATTGAGAAGTATTGAAAAACATTCGAACGAATGATAAAATGAATTCCAATTTACCTGACTCTAAGTTGCTGAGTTTCCAGAAGCCCCTTCATTAGGCAATTTTCACATTTTACATCATGTCCCATATCCAAATTTTGGCCGTAAACTACATCAGATGCAGCCCAGTGATCTTTGTTCCCCTGAGAAAATCAACCTTCTTACCCAATCTTCTCCCAGTCATGATATGACCTCATTTCTAATTCTCTCGCCCTGAAGTAAACATTTTGGGCCGACGGTCCATAAGGGTCCTCATTGGAGTCTGGATGGATAAATGAGTTATCGTTGACATGTAAGCACTACCGTCTGTCATAAATTGAAGGTTTACTCTCATCAACAACAGCCGTCAATTTGAACCCTGCGTAGGATGTGGATTTAAGTAGTAAAAGACATTCAGGTCACTCTCCCTTAGTATCCAAATCCTTTCCAACGGAATCACTAATTGGACATGAGTGAAAACACCTTATCAATGCACACATGTGTATTTCGTAGTCCCTAAGTCGACAAAGTCCGTTTCAAATGTTTGTTACAAAGCAAGTAGCTCGTTTTATAAGTTCATTAGGACCCTCAAAACAGACGAGTGGCACAAAATATAGCTTTAGCGCGGATTTCACACGCCACCTTCGTAACTTTGTGATTCATGAGAGACGCAATTATAAAATAACCCAAATGAAAACTGCTCATAAATCGATTCTTGAAATCAATCATTCATCCATCAGCACGAATAGTAAGGATATTGATACAAAGGAGGGGTGTGAGATAGACTTACCTCCACGTGGTGCACCCTGGACAACGTATCAATAGACTTACCTCCACGTGGTGCACCCTGGGCAACGTATATTCATACGGCAAAGTCTATTAACTGGTAGTTGACTTCTCCAATACGTCAATGGGCAGTTGACTTCTGACTTCAAACTACTAAGACCCCACTGCAATTCATATTCGACTAGTTTCACAACTCACCTCACTTTTTTTCGACCTTTCTGTCTGTCTGTCTCTTTTACGTCTGTGAATCATTATTCTCTCCCCCTCTAGACGTTTTGCCACTTTGATGTTCCTCTTCCTTTCTGTGAAGCTTGAAGTCAACTAAAGGGCTAATGATACCTATTATAACGCCTGCCATTTGAAATATATATATATATATCCTTGGGTGAACTTATCAATTAAAGGCCACGCAGACTCTAACGGGTTCCCTTGTACATGACAACAAACTGGCTTATACGTACTCTACACTGCTTTTGGTCACTACAACACGACATTCCTACAATTTATTTGATGAAGGCAAAGTTGACTGCTTAAGATGAACGCACACAGATTGAACTCTAATGACCGGAAGCATCAGATTTCATCTTGAGTAAATTCAGCACTGTTAGCTGTGGTTAAATCCATGTAACCCGTCTAAATATGATGTGGGAAGACTTACTAGTCATTAATCCAGAGGAAAAATTGGAAAATTTCACTTTGGAAAGTCAAGTAGTGAGGCTAACAATTGTAAGCGAAGTTTCGACAATTGGAACCTAAAATCAAGTGAATTAACCCTTTTGGCACCCCCACCCCCCTCCACCCCACCCCCCCACGCCCCACCCAGCTTCATCCCATCACACATCCACTCTTCTGTTTCCCTCCCTTCTCCACTTTTGTGACCTTGATGTTCCTCCCCTTTGTGAAGCCCGAAGTCAACTGAAGGGCTATTGATAACTATCATAAAGCCTGATATTTTATATAAATAAATAAATTTGTAATATTGGAAAAAAATATGAAAAGTAGGGAAGCAGAACAAACACCGAAGGAACTGGTTTTGATGAACTAATTGATCCGAAAATCAAGCTTTGACAACATTTGTCCAAATAACTCATTTATGGTTTCTAATAGGGATGTGCTTTTCTTCTCTCTTGCCTCAAATCTAATATCCAGATGGTTTGTCAGCTGCTCCCTCTGATCAATCTGATTTTGGAGCCCATGATGGCGTAATGTCATTCAACTTTTCAACGCCAAAGCTATCTTCTAATTAGGTCTCTAAATAAGACCAAAGTCCACGCACAGATTTCACGTCGAACACTCATTTCAAAGGACATATCGATTAGAACACAAAATATTTATATTTATGTCAAATGGCAGGCGATTTGATAGTTACCATTAGCCCTTTAGTCGACTTTAGGCTTCACAGAGGGGAGGAACATCAAAGTGGGAAAAGATCGAGAGGGGGGGGGGCAAACAGAAGAGAGTTTCAAATATGTAAAAGGTAAGGTGAGTACTGTACAAGTGGAGGAATATGGCATAAAGTGGGATCATAGTAATTTGAAGTCAGAAGTCAACTGCCGATTAATAGACTTTTTGCCATATGAGTATACGTTGCCCAGGGTGCCCCACGTGGAGGTAAGTCTATCGCACACCCCAGAAGTTCACTCGACGTCAATAGTGCGCCGCCCGCCCCCATAGCAAGAGCACAAAATAAGTGGGAAGCCTTCGGTAGGCTCAGAAATTAAAGCATACTTTCACATTAATGATTGAGATCTATATATTAAGGGAAGTACTGATTCAATTTGTTTGAATTCCAATAAGCTCTGCTAGGCTAAAATCACAATGTTGTTTCATCACCTGTTATTGCCTCAACAATTGGATATTTGAATATGAGCCAAAAAACCGAAGACTAGAGAAATTGCATGATTAAATTCTGCATGACTACCTTTTGATAACTTGATTTAGTTTTTCTTATTCCTTCTCGATTACCTCCCTATGACACTTACTGCGCTCTTTCCCACTCTCTGTTTTCAAATTTGACATTTGTCTTACCAGGCCAATGACAGTAGATGCCAACCAGGTCTCCTTAATGGATAGGGAAACATGAAAAGCCGAGACCAAATGTTCACTAAACAATGACGAACAGAGATTGACTAGGAGAGGAAGATGATATTGTTTTCAAATGACAAATCGTGCGTTTATTCCATAACTCAACTTACGCAGACGAGAAAGTAAAGTGTTACTCCTTGAATGTCATAGTGCAAGTTCACCTTTGGACATAAACTTAATTTGGCACATGAAATAATCGACAATGAGTGCGCGATAGACTTACCTCCACGTGGTGCACCCTGGGCAGCGTACGATAGACTTACCTCCACGTGGTGCACCCTGGGCAACGTACTTTCTTACGGCAAAAATTCTATCACTCGGCATTCGTTTTTCAATAGACTTACCTCCACGTGGTGCACCCTGGGCAACGTATATTCATACGGCAAAGTCTATTAACTGGTAGTTGACTTCTCCGTATACGACAAGAAAGTCTATTAACGAGCAGTTGACTTCTGACTTCAAACTCTCATTACCCTACTGTATGTCATATTCGAACCTCTTCACAGTACTCATCTTACCTTTTCTTCTACCTTTGTGTCTGCCTCTCTTGCATCTGTGAATTGCTCCTCTTCCCCCCCCCTCTCCCCCTCGAATTTTTCTCACCTTGATTTTCCTTCCCTCTGCGAAGCCAGAAGTCAACTACAAACCTAATGATAATGTCATTAGCAAAAAATAACCGACAAAATTTAGAACACTTCCGTTTACAGCCTCCGCAAATAGGGCTTACCCACTCCAGAAATAATTGAATCTACTATGTCGGAAGTGAAAATTAAATTGTTTTAGGCTCAGTAAATATAGGAAGGATCAAATTGTCTACTGCTCAGTTTTTTTTTGAGAAAACACACATGTCAGTCCAACTGTATTATTAGCAAAGACGGCGTCATACCACCCGAGACTGGGGGAATTTAAAGTTGAATTGCTTTTCAGCAGATACTTTGCCAAAAGGATCGTCATTGAATCTAACGTCAGTGCTTGGGATGACATTTGACAAAGCAACTCTATATCAACAAGCTCCAGATTCTAGGACCCATACACTAAGTGAAGTGAGCTGCGTGAACTAAACCAAGCTGAAGGTCAGACCCCAACGGAGAAGAAATCGCCTCTTTAGCTCATTATAAGAAGTCATGACGGCTCACCTACCCTAGGAGTCTTGGAAACACCAGTTACTGAATAGAACTAAATCAGAACTACGCCAAGTGAATCCATAACGACAAGGCTGGAACAACAAATGAAAGTAACTCCTGTCTCACCATTGAAAGGGGATTCTGACAAAAACGCACCAGAGAATCTCTTGGAATCTAGAGGTCCAACTTATCGAACACTATCCACGCTACCATTACTAAATTACCTTGTATAGTAAAAGGTTGTCTCCATAACTTCATCAAAGTCACCCAGTCGATCCAAGAACTTGAAATATGAAATCGATAATTTCTTACTACCCAACTCTACTCCTTCGTTAGAACAACAAATGCTGAATACATGCCAAGAATTAATAATTAAAAAATTAGCGAAATTCGTGATCAGTTAGTGGCAAAAAAAATACAAATTCAGTCGATGAATACAGTTTGTGTGGTTGGGATTGAGCAGTCACACACTATGGGATCAGTTTTCAGTTGAGCCATCATGGAATTACGAGGTTTTCTTTCTACTCAAACAGTTTCTCTTTCTCATGCAGTTCCATTTTCTCTCGATCAATTTCATCCAACTCTTCAGAGTAAATAAGATCAATCCAGGGGTCATTTCCAAAGTCCTTCTTATTAGCATACTTTGTGATCCACGAGTGCCACAGAAGACGAATAACTTCACCAGTTATAACATCACCAGCGTTCATAGTTAGCATTTGGACAATGAAGACGCCATCCATACGAAGGAATTCTCGAATGAACCTCTCAACTGTGTCTGGACGGCTTGGATCCAAATTTTCTGAGGGGGTAGAGGAATTGCTGTCATTCTTATTCGAATTTAACATGAGTGGAGTAATTTTCAGGTACTTTCGGATCACATGCGTTTGACGTCTTCTAATAGCCAATCTAAGGAACCAGTTGATAAGGCTGAAACCAGTTGAAATAGCTACAGCAAGAGTCCAGAACCAAAGGAAGACATAGAGCTTTTCGTTGAGCATGTTGATGGCCAATGCGCACATTCCCATATAGCGATTATTGGTACGACCCAAATGGCGGAGTGAGATACTGCAGAAAGCTACGCGAGGGAAGTAATGTGACTCTTGCCACTTAACGCCTGATATTAAAGAGCCTGCAAGACGAAATCCAAATCCAGTCATATCTTCATCGTAACCCAAGAAATGCTTCATCAAATACAACTGTCCGATTGCATTGGTGAGATAGAGGACTTTGATACAGAGATAGGAGAACACAGTCCAGGTTCCTGATAGAAATAAATGGTCGATATAACCACCCCCATCAAATGGAATGAAACACCAAAGTATATGGTATTTAAGAACTCACCCATTCTCTTGCTCACGAAGAAGATACCACAAATATTATAGAGTTTTCGCTTCAGAGCGGCTCGCTTGCCACGACGAATATCACGATGTGCAAAGAGTAGAAGTTCCAGTCTATTAGCAACATTGGTGATAATTTTTTCGCGGCCTTTAGGCGATGTGGTTTTCAAAGCGTCCATTGCTTTCACAACGATGGCAGTGAGATCGGCACCTAGACGGTTGAAGGTGACGTTTTGCCAAGCAACGTGGGGAAGATAGAACATAATGGTCTGCAGGCCCAGAATGAACGGCACCCACTGATAGTACGCTAATAAGGAAAATCATCTTGAAGATCTTGAACCAACGTTCCGGCATCTCATTTCAAAACTGTGTAAGGAAGAAATTGACGTACTTACTTATTTTGCGTTCATTTTCGAGTTCTTCCCAACCCGCGTCATCTTCCGGAATGCTTTCATTGATGCGAATTGGTGTAGTGCCATGGACCCAACACCACGAGTTGAAGTAAGAGTCAAAATCAGACCCTGAGGGTACTGTTGGAACGTGACAAGCCAATGGCGAGAGGATGTACGTCTTTGCAGACACAATGGCTGTGCAGAGTAGGAAAATGATTGTACTATGCATATAGCTCAGTCTATCCGCCCAGTCTTGAATACCAATCAGCGTAGCTGCTTGGTACTTCTTATAGAAGTTCATAAAATCTGATCCTAAATTCGACATGCTGAATCAGTGGATCAATCCTGCAAATAAAGAGACGAAGGTCAATAATAATAATAATAATAATTTAATCTACAAACAATTGGGTTCCATTAGAATTAATTAACATGCACTTTCAGGCATGCAATGAGAATAAGAAAGTGATTGACAGTTTAATCAAGGGGATTTTTAATTATTCTGCAAAAAAATATACAAATCGTTGTGTGAAGAACGTCAAGACAGTACTTTTGTTTCGAAAATCTGACTAAATATGCGTCGGATGGGGGAGTGGGGGGGGGGGGGGGGGGGGGGGGGGGNGGGCGGACGAGGAATTCAATGGAAAATCACCAGACAACAAATTACCAATCCAAAGACTGAGTGTGTGTGTGTGTTTGTGAAGAAAAAATATACGTGGAGTTGAAAAAAATGTTAATGCGCAACAACATTTGAGCAATAGTCAATTGCTTCAGGTGTGCCTGCCTCACGACGCAAATTGATTTTAAACAGCTGATATCTTCTTGTCATAGGGTGACCTGCGAAGGGTTGTTTCACCACCCTCATCCAATTTCATCCTCTGTTTCATAATGTCACGAGCAATATCATTGAGCATAGTCCTATTCTTGAACTTGGTCTTGTAGATATCCCACATTTGAACAATCACATCAGCAGTAACAACATCACCGGCATTCATGGAGATCATACGGAGCAAGAAGACACCGTCATGACGCAAGAAGTCGGAAATAAAGTTGCGAAGAATCTCCTTGTCTTCAACTGTGTAGATCTCCTGAAGACGCAAGAATTTCTTAATGAAGTGCACCTTGCTCTTTTGACGACCCAAGCGAATAATCCAGAGCGGGATTGAAACAGCCGTACAGAAGGCAACAATAGCAGTCCAAAACCACAGAAAGATGTAGATTTTTTCATTGAGCATATTGACTGGAAGCACGCATTGTGCAACGTATCGATTTGTGGTACCGAGATGGCGAACATGTTCAACATAGCAGAAGGAGACACGAGGGAAGATACGGGTCTCATCCCAATCCTTACCATTGATCATGTACTTTGCCACCTCATAACCAAAATTGGTCATTGATTTGTTGAAACCAAGGAAGGATTGCATGAGATAGAGTTGGCCAATAGCATTACTAAGGTAGATGCATTTGATGAAGAGATAAGTGAAGATAAGCCAAGTTCCCAGACGTTTGCTAGCCATGAATAAACCGCAGAACTTGAAGGCTTTACGACGAGCATCTGCAATTTTGCCCACACGAAAATCTCGATGTTGGAATAGCATTTCAGCCATGGTTCCAGCAACATGCTTCACAAGGGTTTTGCGGTCGTCTTCAATGGTGTTGCTAGCCTTGTTAGCGATAGAAATGAGATTTTCCAAGTCGGTGCCAGTTCGGTTGTAGCAGATGATCTGCCAAACAACGCGTGGAATATAGAAGAGGATGCACTGCAGACCCAGCATAAAGGGTACCCACTGGTAGTAGTCTATAAAGAAAATATATACATGGAAATGTAATCACATTCGATACAAAGTCTACAAATATCTATATATCTTGAGTTAATAATTCATTCTGCGCCTTATGTCCTAGGTTTGAAATGCTATATACATTGCGCTATTATACTCCAAGGTCAACCTTGCCGAAATATTGAGAACAAAAGTCATTTAATCAGAGGTTAATAAGAACAAATTGAACAGAAGCAGAAAAAGACTGCAACATTAACAATTCGCCCCTATTTTACGTCAGACTCTAGCAGCCCACCTCCTTCCTCTCGATTTATCTAGAATTCCCTCAATCATTGATCATACTGAACAATTGATCATATCATTTCAAATACATAATAATTTTTCCAAAGGGTGGGCGATAGACTTGCCTTCAAGTGGTGCACCCTGGGCGACTCAAACAAAGCGAAAATTGAAGCGAAACGATCAAGTACAAAGCCCCCGCCCCCACACTTGTGAACAAAAATTCGCGGAAAATGAAGTTTCGTTTTTTACACCATTGATGGGAACATTAAAATCAGTTAGCGTGAACGACTTCTAATGCCCAATTTCCCAATAACATTATAAATCACAAAATGTAAGGGCGATTAAGAAGCTAAATATATTCGGATGTCATGCTCGATACCCGAGATGTGGGGCAAGGAGTAAAAGTCCCCAATCGCACAGACAAAAAACCCTCTCAAATTAATCGATCGAATAAACTACTTATCAGCTACAAGTGGGAAAAGTAGGTGTGTTCAATAGGAAATTGAGGTCACTTTGTGCGTTTTTGTGACACCGCCGATACAACGTTTCGTTTTTATTTGCGCGTTAAACAGTGTCAATGGGGGAGGGCTAATCATTTTCACTCTGTGACAGTAGCAAAAAAAAATTCAGTCGTGATTTCACCTCACTAGCAATCATATATGAAATCAGAGAGCACAGCCGGACACCTTGGAAATTTTTAACATAAACAAAGTTTGAAAAGCGGTTAAGATGTTTACTCCACACCAGTGTCGACACACATTCTACTTACGTCAAACGTCAAGCCCATTATGAAAATTTTCACTTATTGCTTCGAGGTTTAGGGGGTTTTTTTGCCTAATTTTAAACAATAGGGGTCCTTGCCCAGCAAATGCATACTATTGTAGAAGTAGTGCGCGTCAAGATGGTGCAGACTGGACAGTTTCATTGGTGTCGCGAGATGACACCAGGAGCCCTTGAGTTTAAGTCTACCGATTGACTATACACAATACGTATCCTACCACTTGGAAAGCAGGTTAATGAATTTTGACGTTCTTAACTTTGAAGTGATTAAGAAGCCAGTTGAAGCTAGCCAATCCCGGGTGGGCAAACCCTATAATTATTCCCCTCGAAAATTTCACTCCTCAGTCTGTGCTTTTGCAACACTCCGAAATCATAAATAGCGAAAAAATTCTATATTTAGTTAATCATAATAAGGCATTAAGAGCCTGATACGATTGCAACAATAGAACTAAGGAATAGCCAAAAACAGAGCTTCACCACTTCACTTTCACAAGCTAAATATTATGGATTTTCAGTGATTGACTAACTGAAAAAAAACACTTTCACTTCTTTAAACTAGAAAAATGACAAAGAGCTGATTTGTCAACTAAGGTCAGTCATTAAAAAAGCTAAAATTTCGTATTATGGCAGTGAAAACCATTTTTTCTCAATGTGTGTGTGTGCAAATGTTTGAGGAAAGGAAAACAGTTAGGTACCAAAATATATAAGGAGTTAAACTAACTTCAAGCTTTCATTGTTGACTTTTGTCTTCAAACCACCATGACCCCCCACTTTATGTCATATTTGATCCTTTCACAGTACTCGTCTTAACTTTTCTCTGCCTGTCTGTCTGACTCTTACAACATCTATTAATCATTATTCTGCCCCTCCTCTCGACTTTTTGTCACTTTGTTGTTCCTCCTCCCCTCTGTAATGCACGAAGTCAACTAAAGGGCTAATGATAACTATCAAAACGCCTACCAGATGAAATAAATAAATAAATATTGAAACTTCATTATGAACCAGATGAAATAAATAAACTTTCAGATGAAAAACGAAGATATGTGACTTTACACCCCCCTTGGAATTCTGAAATTTCATAGACAAATCACAATAGTCATCAGATCACCAATATGAAAGCTTCAAATGACCTTGAAAGACACTTAAGGAGAATCCAATGCCTAGAAGCATGGATTAATAACTCGTACACCAATTGTGGTTTTTAAAGAAACTAATCAATTTATTGATAATTATTTATGAAATTTGCTCATTTGTTTAAAAGTGACAAATTGAAGGGCCGTTGTCTGGTATGATTTCGGAGCAACGCAGACCGTTAATGAAATTACGTGGGATACTGGAGTCCCGTTATTCGTGGCCACTTTAGAGCTAAATCATGTTAAAACTCCAAACACCACTTCACACCCTACCACATAGCTGCATAATATATATGTTAAATAAGTTAACTCACTGATTCTCATGTTCTTGTCAGCTTCATTCCACTCGGAGTAATTCTGGGGAATATGTTCTCCCTCCAGAAACGGTATTGTTCCATGCACCCAGCAGAAATTCTGCAGAAATTTATCAAAGTCCTTCCCAGAGGGCACTGTGGGTATATAGCAGGCAATACTTGCTAGCAAATACTGCTTCACCGCAATGATGGTTGTGCAAAGTAGCAAAATGAGCACGGAGTACATGAAACTCATTTTATCAGCGAAATCCTCCAATCCCAGGAAGTCGTTGACTTTGAGCTTGGTCAGGTAGTCAATGAATTCTATGCCAACCATGTCGATGAGGTTAACTAAAGGATAAAATAAGACCGGGTTAAATACTGCCCGACAGCCTGGTGTCCAAGTTGGCATTTGACTTGGAGTATTTGTCCATCCGGTTTTACTACTCCATGGATAAACTCAAACTTCAGGCTAATTTCCATACTACTCCGACACGAATGCAACAAACGAACGAGCACCAATTGGCAAGATGTCGCATACGCCCCGCTGAGCCCCATATGACATAAACATCTTCATTGTGCGTAAACTATTAGGTGATTCTACACAATGTTTCAGCGAAACTGATGTTCAGACTGACACAAGATCTATGATAGGCAGTCAAGAGTTCGAAATCATTCTCCCTCCCCCTCCCCTCCTCCCACCCCCAAATTTGGGAGATTTCCAGATGTACGTTGATCAGGACTTTTGGACGCATTCAAAATTGGTGGTGGGAAAAAATATTTTAACCTAAAAATAGTCGACTTGTTCACAGCCCTTGGACTTGGACAAGCACACAACCACCTCTTTGTAGACCGAAATTATCCAGGGTGGTGTTGGTCAGCCACACCAATATAGCATTCTCGGGGAAAAAAGCTGAACTTACACAATGATAACCTAGAATTACTCTTTGACCCAATGGCAAGCATTTATAGGATGCTTCCACCATTAGAGAATACACGAAACTAGAATTTGAAGGAATTTATAATCTCCCCTCGGGAAACCAGGAGAATAAAGCGGAACAACAACAAAAAATCCCGTCTTATGACGCATCATAGTCGGCTATCAGTCACCGTGAAAAGGCTCGATGTCCGATAGTTAGGTTGCACAGGTCATTTTAAGGGAGATATTCGAGAGTATAAGTGATGACATGCAGAAAACGTGGGTCGATACTGTGGACGTGTGTTTCCAGGAGGAAACTCCCCTCACCATCGACTCAGCCCGGTATAGGCAACGCCGGTTGAGCAACTGAAACTACTAAATTCAACAAATAAAAAGACCCGATTTCGTGGAGCTCCAACTCACGATCAGAAAAACTGTTAAGCAGACACAAAACTGCATGATATGGCGGAAAAGGACTCTGAATGCCAATATGCCATTGTTAGATTAACGTGACTAGGCCGATAAAAGTTTCCCCCCCCCCCCCCCCAAACACTGGAGGTGACCAATCAGCGTCCGAATTTTACCATGACGCATGCCCTCTACGTATGTGCACATGGTGGAAAGTGTAAAGCGACTTCCATTAAGGAGTGAATTCCGTCTAAAGAATTCAGCATGATTTCGTCACCTTTGCTCCGGTCTTTAAAACACTTTTGTTCAGCTATGATTACCTGCACTTACATATAAACTGATCTACAAATCTGTTTTCTTGAAAAAAATTTAGGAGAAAACTGAAAAAAATGGTCCTGGATTCTGAGAACGCATCTATCCTCCTCTTCGCCTACAATTTAGGTAGAAAATTGAGCAAGACCTGGAATTTCATTCACAGTCACCTTGTAAACCCCATCTCCAAAAAAAGGGAACGACAAACCCTGAAGAAAGAATGCCCACTTTACTACTTCGTGATATCACAAGGAAGTCTAATGAAAATAGAGTGGTTGGATGCTCAAATAATTTTTTTATTCTATTTCCGCTTCGTTTCTATCAGAGAAATTAGATAATATGCCTAAAATATCCAGTGGAGCGCTTTGAATATCTTAACATTAATTTCTAAAAATTACTCAGAATTACTCCTTTTTGATATTTATACCAGCAAAATCTGGAGAAAGTAAATATGCCGATTGGACCAATAGTAGCATTTAAAAAGAACTGGCCTGTACTAAATGCACCAATCCAACTGTAGTATGGTAAAATACTAATCGACTTATGGTAAGAGTCATAACAACTCCTGCAATTGGGACCGGCAAAATATGCGTAAAATCCATCAATAAGTAGGATTTAAACTCACACTAAAAAGTACCCGGCAGAATATCCAGACGCGAGGTGAGACGATCGCTCCAGAAAGGTCTCCGAGATAATGAACTCCCGGCTTCTCAGGTTTCTAAATTCTGTCCGCACTCCGCCTGCCCTATTGGCCATCAACTAACTGCACTCTCTCGGGATTGGATGAAGGGCCCGCATAATTCGATTGGTCGATAGCACAAGCTCCTGCCAATCACCTAACTAGTTAAAGCTGGTCGGACTATCTCATGTTAAGAGCCTCGCCTTTGTCCATATTATAAGCAATTGGATGTAATTTTTTTCGAATGGAAATGAACCCTAAGTTTTGGCGTTAGCATTATGCTCAATCGTCGCATTGAGTCCTTATTGCGAAGTGTTTAACCGATTGCAATTAGGCACTCTGCTACCAACAGACAATGTGTCACCATGACTAAGTTACTATTTATTTCAAATGGCAGGCGTTATGATAGGTATCATTAGCCCTTTAGTTAACTTCAGGCTTCACAGAAAGGAAGATGAACATCAAAGTGGCAAAACGTCTAGAGGGGGAGAGAATAATGATTCACAGACGTAAAAGAGACAGACAGACACAAAGGTAGAAAAAGGTGAGATGAGTACTGCGAAATTATTCGAATATGAAATGCAGTGGGGCCTTGGTAGTTTGAAGTCAGAAGTCAACTGGCGAATAATAGACTTTTTTGCTGTATGAGTATACGTTGCCCAGGGTGCACCACGTGGAGGTAAGTCTATCGCACACCCCTGACTAAGTTACTATTAGTAATAGTAATCATTCTACTGTAAAATTGTAAATGCTTCTGTAGAAATCAAGGAAGTATGTCCCTTTATGTTTCAAAGTTCTTTTACGGAGATTATGAATCTATTCACATTTGCACCTCTGTGTCATCTAAAAAGTTATGGCAAATTGAAGAAAGTAATTTTGCTTTGAAGATTCGTTTTCATACCGGGAATTCGATGGAGATGTTTGCAGTCTTGTCTATTAGTGTATTAACTATTTTCGCATTTCTTTTCAGTTTGCTCAAATGCAAATTAATACCAGGATTCAGTTAGAAACAAAGCCATTAACGAAGTATATAGCTGAAACATATTCTGTTTTTCTTTCAAACGAATGAAAGAATCGAATCCAGTTCAAGGTGTTGATCTCTACGTAATTTCTAAATTGAAAATACTTGCCAGATTCGGCGTGTTTTTTTTAAATGGTCTATTATCCCTTACATCGTTCATGGAATTTTATGGCATTTGGAATTTACCTATTTTTTCAAATAATGGTAATCATGGCAAAGAATTATTTTAAAAAGGATGGTAATTAAACGCATAAACCACTCATCTCTCATGATCAGTAATTATAACCTCACGTAGATAAATTTGGCCTATTTACATTGGCCAAAGTAGAGACAGATGGAAGCATCACTTTCTGTCTAAAATTAATAGGGGGAGTGAGAAGTGATATCTGGTGATTTCAGTCTTGAAGCCGAAACACCCACTAAAGTCTAGTCTTTGCTCTTATGACCCTCAAACCTATAGATAAATGCTCAAGGGATGATCATTTTGCATTTTTTTCTAATCTTGCCTTGTCTTGTTTAAATTGGCCTGAGAGGCGGGAGCCAATCACAATTTTATACTCGCAGTTTTTAATTAGTATTGAGTAAGATAAATTTTCTTTGGTCATTTGATTACCTTGAATGGTTTCATTTAGGTTAATTTTCTCTTCCAATAGCCATGATGTTATCATACGTGGATTTTAGCGTAACAAAGCCCAAACATAACCACCTCTTTTTCTACCAACCTTAGTCAATCATTGGAATCAACCGGGTCTTTTTGTGTGCAAAATACTCAAATACCCATTGCAGCCTTTTGCTTTTCTCCGAAATCCCCAGAGTATTTTTGTATACATATCTGGATAATAATTAATAGAATCATGAAACCGCCGATGCGATACTTGGAATGTCAAATTAAGGGGGAAGATAACGCATCCATGACACAAAAATAGCCTGAGTTACAATGATTTAATTATTTATTTATTTCGAACGGCAGGCATTTTGATAGTTATCATTAGCCCTTTTGGTTGACTTCGGGCTTCACCGAAGGGAGGAACATCAAAGTGAGAAAAACTCGACAAGGGAAAAGAAGAGCGTTTCACAGATGTAAAAGAGACAGACAGACAGACACAAAGGCAGAGAAAAGGCTAGATGAGTACTGTAAAGGGGTAGAATATGACATACAGTGTGGTCATGGTAGTTTGAAGTCAGAGGTCAACTGCCAGTTGATAGACTTTTTGGGCGTAAGTCTATCGCACACCTCATGATTTAATTATTGTATCCCCGTAATAACAAAGTTGAAACAACCTCGCTTGGACAATAACCATTTCATTTCAAATTAATCACCTCGATATAAATTATATTGTACCTTTCCATTAGATCCATACTTAAGTAGACATCGAAAGACACCTACACTCCAAGGTAAACGATCGAAAGAGCATTGTACTTTTGTGTAAAAACCTTGTGAAGCAAGTCTCCATTTGCAGACCAAATTAATCAATACTTGAATAGTTGTGTTACTGGTAGAGATTATGAATTTAAAGTTCAAGGTGGGATGCTTCGAATTTTTTTAAACCGCTCCTAACTCCGATCTCTCTACTGGTAATTGAACTGGAATTTAACCA